ATTTATTTTTTTGTTAGATACAAAGCAAGAAACAGAATCAAAAATGGAAACTTGATTATGAATTCAATTCAATAGTCTTTTTTTTTTTTGTTATTGTTATTTGTATCTATAAATTTTCATCGATGTCTCTCATATTAAATATTCAAGAAAAAGAACTATGAGAAAGATAAAACAAAAAGATTCTTTTTTTCTAAATATACAATTGATGATATTTTCAGAGAGGTTCTCTTCAACAAGGTCGCATAATGCAAACATATAAGTTCTTTCATTCTTCGCTTATTTGTTGCTCCGTGCTTCAATGCACAATTGTTCGATTCATCCAAATCAACTAAGCGAAATACTTTCCATATTTATTTTAGTAATGTCTTAATACTGGCGTTATTTTTCTTTTTCTTATTATCACTACTATTATCATCTGGGAGCAATAGAACGGAAAAATGACACAACGTAAAGAAAAAGAAATGAGTTATCTTCATAATATGCTCAGAAACAACCGTTTTTTATGGTCTGATACGACAGTTTTTTGCTTTTTCCTGCTTTATAGAACAGAAACACAGATTCTATACGATGCTTTGTACATAAATAGATTATTAACCGATTCTAGAGTTTGATTTGTATGCTGATAAATAATATTTCTATGGTATTTTTTTTCTAGCTGAAAAAAATATTATGAATGATAATTATCATAAAAGTGAGTACATAATATTTTGTATTTAATTAAAAACAAAAGATAAATGATGTAAGATCATCATTCAAAATATAGATGTTTAAGCAAGAATGTAACATTTCCAATAGATTATTACAGAAATTTATTTGATATATATGTAGCAATGGTCGGTATATTATTACAATGATTTTCTTATTATCATTTATTGTTAGAAAGATAATTTTAAGTTATTTAAATGATCGTTTGACATTGACAATGAAGTAGAAACAATGAAAAAATCATTAGTCTTCAAGAACAAATGTTTGAGACGATTTCTTTCTGAATAAGAACTAGTGCAAAGACTCGTGTAAAAAAAAAACGATATTATTTAATAGTATAATGCATATCATTTAGTTTCATTCAATGAATGCATATTTCTTTATATTAGTATGTTCAGTATAGTGGTACTGATAATCGTAGTAATAGATTCAAAAGAGATAAATAAAATTGTGCCATTTTCAAAACATGAATCAATGCTACAGCTCATTCTCGAATACATAATTCAAGTATATATGTGATTTTTCGTCGAGCTGACGAATAAACCTCTCCAAATGTCAAATCGCTTGCCGATCGAGATGATATTAATTTGATTAGTGATAGAAAAGTCTAGAGTAGTTTGGTTTTCTGGGCCTTCGTTCTTAATATATCAAAATTTTACTGGATTTTTCAACAAAAACGCTGTGATCATATGAAAAATCAACTTTTGAATTTCATCTTCAAATTTTGCCATGAACAAAGTTCTCAATGAGATTAGTTAATTGTGTAACTTTTTGGCGTTTCTAGTATTTCTTTTTTGGTGATGCGAATATATAAATAAAAAAGGAAATACTAGAAACGTCGAAAAGTTACATAATCAACTAATCTCGTTAAGAACTTTGTTCGGACAAAATTTTGAAGTCAAAACTCAATAAAATTTTGATATCTCCAGAATGAAAACTCCGAAACTAAACTATTCTAGACATTTCTATTAGTCATCAAATTAACATCATCTCGGTCGGCAAGCGATTCAACACCTGGAAAGGTTCTCCCGTTTTTAAATCCTGTTGAATCCAACATTTTTGGACCCGAACCCAGTCGAATAGTACTTAGATACTCCCAATGAAATTTTCCAATCGGAATTGGATAGTCATTTCGAAGATACGAGATAGTTCGCTCAAAAAGAGTGACGAATATAGTTAAATATGTGCGCGGTTTCTTCTTTCTCTGTTTATTCTTTCAAAAATGAGTGTTCATATACGAATATAAAAACAAGGACAAAAATAGAAAAGAATATAAAGGTTAATTAGCGTCAAATAAAAGACATAATAGAAACAAAGTGATGTTATCGAAGATATTAGATGAACAAAGGTATAATCAAAGAAAAGAGAATAAAGAGAATAGACGTGTAGGTTATAACAATGCATTGTAACATACTCTTCTATTGAACAAAAAAACGTGTTCTATCAACGTTCTTGGAAAAAGATAGAAATAACAATGAAATGTTTAGATAGAAAAATCAGTAATATCAGAAGGGGCTAAAAATAATAAACTATAACATGAGAAAATCTTCGAAAAGAAACGATTAACACATAAGTATAATAAAATGCCAATAGAAGTATGAGAAAGAAAAAAACATATTTAATGATGTAAACAAGTAACAAAGGCATCTCACATATGTAACAGTAATATGTATAGATATAGGAAAAAAATATCTTAAAAGTAACGAATAGAAGAAAGAAAAATTCAATATGAAAACAGAAGACTGGTCTATCCATAAGAAAATGGACCAATATAGACCAACGGCTTTGATCATTATATCTCGTTGATTCTTGTTTGATGTTATTTAACTTGATCAACTAGTTTGCATTCAAAACTAAGTAAATGTAAATAACATAATAATAATAATAAATTTTGAAATTGTGTTTTTTTTGAAATGACAAGCAAAGTCATCGATGATTCGTTTTATTTCTCATATGTCAATAAAATATATTACGAAATATTGGTTCTTTATCCAAGTTCACTACCCATATGAGAATCTGTTAAGAATGATTGAATAATTAAACATATCCTAAAATTGTATTTCGTATGATAGAATGATAAAATAATATTAATAGACATGTGTCAAATTGAATATAATAGTCCTTCAGAATCAGTGAGTGAGGGAAATCCACGTTCTCCGACCATGCTACGCTAAATTATAACTCATTAGATTAATCTAATAATAATAAATTATTCCATTTGATTTGACATATTTATCAATAGCATGAATCTCTTCATTAGAAAGGTCCTAGGGATGATACGTTCGTTCGAATAATAGAGTCCCCACATAAATTATTATAACTTCTAGATAATGCGTGCCTTTTGATATGTTGAACGGCATATGTTTTCCATGCAATTTGTTCCATCGGATTATCGAGATAGAAAGAAGATCTCTTCTATATTGAATTAATCAAATTTAATCTTGTCACAAGTCACGATTAGTGATTTTGAATGCATTTGATAACTAATATTGTTAGTAGAGATTTGATACAATTCACAGATGACTCTCTTTGGAAAGAGATTTTGTTTTAATAATTGAAGCAAAAAAGTAGCGAACAGATGATCGTTATAATACTGGATGGTTAAATCAATGATTCGACCTTCCTTAATTATGAACTATCAGAAAAAAATCAGGGTCGCCAAATGTTAGTGTTCGTACTCAGAAAGAGCAATGAATACAGTTAACGATATGTGCGGTTTCTTCTCTCTCTCTCTCTCTCTCTCTCTGTTTATTCGTTGAAAAACGAATGTTCATATACGAATATGAAAACAAGGACAAAAATAGAAAAGAATATAAGGATTAATTAAGGTCAAAGAAAAGAAATAATAGAAACTAAACGATGATATCAGATGAACAAAGGAATAATCAAAGAAAAGAGAATAAAGAGGATCGATGTATATGTTATAAAAATGCATTGTAACAGTATCTATTGATTGAAAGTCAATATTGCTATACAATCGAAATTAGTTGATGAGAGTCATAGACATATTGAGAATTGATGAAAAAAAATGAAGTGAAGTTTTTCTTTTTTTTTTATATTATAAAAAATCTCACGAAACATTTGTTTTGCTTTTTATTTATTCATTTAGTAATCTATCAACTTATTCACATGAAACGTATATGATACAATGTGAATACATTTATTGTTTCATTAATATGCAACCATTTAAAAGTGATATTTTCTATCAATGATAATAGATTAATATATTTCAGAAATTATTATTCGCAAAAAAAGTTTCCACTTTTTATATTTTATTGTTTTTTTTTTAGTTAATATTATTTTAAACCAATATGTTTGATGCAAAGATTGATTCTACATCTATATCGAACGATAATAATAATAATAATCGATCTCGTTCATTATTACGTCAAATAGGTGCAACACTTACCGGTAGAAGTTGTAGTCGACATCCAACAGATACAACAAATGAATCTCCATCAGTCTCATTACTTCGTAAAAAACATCGATCATTTGATAATGTTAATATTGAACAACGTTCACCAAAATGTTATATAAAAAGAACTTCAAAAACTAAAACGCCAATTTCATTTTCACATCGTTTATCTTTATTGAATCAAGTTAAAACACATATTATTGGAACTCATAAACACCGTCAAACTATATCATCAATATCGAACGATGATAATAAATATTTACTATTACCATCTATTATGTCAATTACAGTGAGTTATTTTGAATTCTCAAAAATACTGAATCTTTTCATTATTGGTGCATGTCAAATTTTTGTATGCAAATCATTCATTTTTTTTTTTGTAATATCACAGTCAATTAATAATTGATTACATTTTTGAAACACGTTTTTATCAAACAAATATTGCCAATATGCAACATAAATTATTTTGTCAATCATTAATAGTTGTGTAAACAAAAACAAATTCATGACGAAGTCAAACATTTCGTTAGTCTGCCAGATAAGACTTAAATCAAAAGTCATAACATGTTCAAATTTTCTAAAGAGAGAAGAGTTTGAATATTTCTAGAGAAGGATTCAGTCTTTTTTGGTTATACCACTCATTCGTGTTCCATACATTTCTGTAAAAACTACATAACACCAACCAATTAATCAGTTACAAATCGACCTCTATTTATTACACTCTCTTTTGTTTTTCCTTTACTAAAAAACAAATGATAGTTGACAAGTTACATATATATATACATCGATTCGCTTGATCGATTTTTTTTTTGCTTGCATATTTCTTACTTTTATGTTGTTTGACGTTGATGCATAAGACGTAAAAATTAACGTCACATACATGGATATTATATTACAAAAACCTAATGGAGTGAGTATGAGATTTATTTCAAACATTGTATAGGTTTTTTATTCTAGTAAGAACTACACTTTTATATTATTCTTTTAATATTCATGTAACAATTTCATATGAATATTTATCAAAAGATATTCTATATTGATGAAGTATCTTGTAAACTGTATGAATCTAGGCATTTTCATTTTCTCATAAATAGCAAAAAAAAAAACAATGATATAAGATCATTAAGTAAAAGAAAGTTGAATAGGAAAAAAAAAATAAAACCAATATGTGCTAGAAAATACGACCCTGAATCTCTATTCTTTTCGTTCGCTGTTTTTCTTTTTTATGTTCTGTTCGATAGTTGATAAAAATAGATTATTTTTGTTGTAATTAATCATCTGTTGCATTTCCAATGTGCGTGTTACGAGCCTTTTCTTAAAGTTTATGTTATTCGAGATATAGAAATCAATTGAAGAGAAGAAAAATGACTTCTATTCAAAGTGATTCATGCTTATCAATTATAAAAGTTTTATTTTATTTGTAAATGAACTACTCTGATACACCTAAAGATAATGTAATCATGAAATATTTATGTGCTTGTATCAAGGTGATTTTTGTTTTAATATAAAATTTTTATTTCAATATATAAAATATTCTTATTTTACTTCTAGGAGACAAAATCATCGTCTATAAAAGAAGGGGATCAAAATTCAATAAAAAATGAAATTGATTCATCTTCACAATTATTTCCTCTTGTTAATACAACTATCCAAAATAGTCCTGAAAAGACGATGATATTAAATGACTCCTTAAATATGATAACTGACGATGAAAAACAACAAAATCCAACACCAATCAATGGAATTAATTCAACATTAAGTTCAAGTCGATTAAGTTTAAATAAATTTAAAGACCAATTAACTCAACGTGCACGTACTGTTATGACAAGATCACCATCACTTACAGCAATTGTACCAAATGGATTATCAGTCAACAATAGTAATAATAATACTGAACAAGTTTATTGGACTGAAATTTGTATTGAAAGAGCAAAAGATTTAGCTGCTAAAGATATTAATGGTTCAAGTGATCCATATGTTAAAGTTTTATATGGTAATGAAGAAAAATATGCAACAAATATTGTATTAAATAATTTAAATCCAGTATGGAATGAAACTTTTACATTTTTTATACATGATTTAAATATTCCAATTTATTTTAATATATTTGATTATGATCGTATTGGACGTGATGAACCAATGGGTACAACAAAAATTGATTTAGATAAATTACCATTAGAGAAATTATATGCTGCAACACTTGAATTAGAAAATGAACAAAGAAATGATGGAAAAATTGGTATAATTAAAATTAGTATTACACTAACACCAAAATCAATTGAATTTCGTGATGAAGTAAAAAACAAAAAAAAAATAAATATTTTAAGAAAAATTTCTTTTTATATTTAAATTAAGGCTCTTCGTACATTGACAAAAAATTCACAAAAACAATTATTATTTGGTAGTCGTTTAGGAGTAAATAATGTAATCATACAACCTCGACGTACAATTGATGTTTATATAATTAAAGGACGAAATTTAAAATCAGTCGATAGTAATAAACTTTGTAGTCCTTATATTAGACTTAAATTTGGAACCAATAAAAAATATCGAACACAAGTAAGATATATGAAAAAACAAAATCACAAAAAAAGAAAAGAAAATTTTTATGATTAACTACTTACAATGAAATTATTCTAAGTAATAGCTGCCGTTTGAGTTCATCTTGGATTCACAGACAAGTCTTAATGAGAATAGCAAAAGACTAAAAAGATTTATCCTCATAGATCTTTGTCGTCGAGGTATAACAGATTTACTGAATTTTTTTACTCGTTTTTAGATGCTTCCTGAAAGATTGAATAACGAAATTTTGCCTACAGATAGATCTAATGACTCTTAGAATATCCTGAAAGTTCCATTCGAAAACGATGTTCCCTTGTCGAATTATTGAATTTTCAAGTAAACTCGAGTTTTGTGTATCGGCGCTAGAATTAAATGTGAATGAGTGTAAAATGAATATCTCGAGAATGGCAATAGCTAGTGATCTGTGGTTTTCACTAATCGAAAGAGACTGAGTTAGGACATGTTTTGATATAATATTATACAAGATGAAATCATTACCTAACCAATCTTTCCAAAAAATGTATAATAATGCAATGTAGTTCCAATGAAATTTTCAATTTAATATGTTTATTAGATAGAGAAACTTCAGTTCTATAGTTCAAGATATAATACAAATGGTTATCTTCTCACAGTCTAACAATGAGCCAATGAATTCGACCATTTGATTGCTAAAATAATAGGGAATTTCGTTGATTTTTAATCAAGTTTTTTTTTTGCATTTTATCAAAATGGTCTGTTGTTCCGATGAAAAATTGACAAAAAGCAAGAAAACTTGATTAAAAAATCAACGCAATCTCCTATTATTTTAGCAATCAAATGGCTGAATTCATTGGCTAATCGTTAGACTGTGAGAAAATAACCATTTGAATTATATCTTGAACTAGAGAGTTGAAGTTCCTCTATCTAATAAACATGTTCAATTGAAAATTTCATTGAAACTACATTGCATTATTATACATTTTTTAGAAAGATTGGTTAGGTAATGATTTCATCTTGTATAATATTATATCAAAACATGTCCTAATTCAGCCTCTTTCGATTGGTGAAAACCGCAGATTGCTAACTATTATTATTCTCGAGATATTCATCTAACATCCACTCACATTTAATCCTGACGCCGGCAATAGACACAAAATTTCTACGTTTATATTCCAAAAGAGAATATTAACTCATAGCTTTTGATTCGTTGGAAATAATTTTTAGCGGATCAAAAGTAAACAAACATCTTGTCTAAAAACTTTCCAATCATTCATTAGTAGTTTACACATACTTATTTTTTATCTAAAGCAAAAGAAAAAGAATTATGAAATGGAGGTAATTGAAGGTTAAGCCTATTCAAACATATGATTTCTTTTTATGATGTCTTCAGAATGTGTACTGTTCGTTATTCAACGATAAATTATCGATTATCACATTCTTTTATTCGATTGAGTAATCATGTATAAACTAAAAATTGTGCATAAACAAAAGTTACAAACTCATTTTTCTTTTTGCATCAAGTTCCTATCTATTGATCGATAACAATCAGTATCCGACTTGGATCAGATCACATCTCGGGTTGAGTCGAATCACAAAAATTTGATCTATATCAAATACTGATAACAATACATTACATAAAGTCGAGAAAGAAAAATAGTTTTTGTCTGATAAAAATAAAATTTTATTTTGGTATATTGCTTATTAAAACAATACATTGATTAATTTATGTTGTTAAGATTTTCTTGTTATGAAAATATTCATGATCGAGTTAATCAAACATTTTCAAACTTAAATATTAATCTAATGATGAATTTGTGATTTTAACATTGAATATTACATACAATTTCGAACTTAAACATGAATTTCATAATTCAAATTTTGATATGAGCCTAAATAAAAATCTGTAGTAAAATCGGAATTCAATGTATTTCATTGTTATTAAACTTATCACTTGAAAATTATATTTTACTATACATTTAATTATTGTTTAGACAATAAAATCTACTAGTAATCCTGAATGGTGTCAATTATTTATGTATGATACAAAGCTTAGTGAACTTCCACCATTAGAATTAACTGTTTTCGATGACAGTAATGCTTCAGGAGAGTTCATAGGACGGTAAATAAATAAAAGAAATGTTTTTTTTTTTAAATTCAACTCTTTGTTTTTGTTTTTCTTTAGAGGAATTTGTAATTTAGCTCATTTAGATGAAGAACGAACACATCTAATACCAGTTGATCTTGAAGATGGTGCTGGTACAATTGATGTATTTATAACAATAACAGTAACAACAGCATTACAAGAAGTAACTAATGATGGTGAAAATTCATTGAATGTTGCTCTTGATTGTATTCCATCAAAATTATCTGAAACAGATTTTGAAAATTATGTTTGTAACATAAAAAAATAAAAATCAATTTATATTAAAAATTTATTTTTATTTATTTCATTAGAATTTTTTTTCTACACTTCGATCAATATCTACAATGTTTGATGTTGGTAGACTTGAAATTAAAAGTAAACAATTTATTTTTTATGATTATTTTAAACTTTTTTTTATACAAAAAAAAACAACAAAATTTAGTTTATCAAGCACGTGGTCTTAGTTCGAAAGATATAAATGGTAAATCAGATCCATTTTGTGTTGTTGAACTTGATTCAAATCGTTTACGTACACATACAATACGTAAAACACTTGCTCCCATTTGGAATAAATCATTTGTTATACCTGTACAAGATATTCATTCTGTACTTCAATTAACAATTTATGATGAAGATATAAATCTAAATAGTGAATTTATTGGAAAAGTTATGATACCATTATTAACTGTAAGGAAAATGATTATTATATTTGTTGAATTTTTCTTTTTTCTTTTTGTTTTTTGAAGATAAAAAATGGTGAAAAGAAATGGATGACATTAAAAGATCGAAAATGTATAGCACCTGTTAAAGGTGCTATTGAAATAGAAGCAACATTTATTTATACAAATGTAAAAATTTTTCTTAAAAAGAAAATTTTATTGTTTTTTTTTTTGTTTTGGTAATTTTAGCTTAAAGCAGTGATTCGAACATTTAATCCAAGACAAAAACCATATTATCAAATCGATGAAAAATTTAGTGTTGGTGTATGTATAGTTATTAAAATTAATTCTTCTTTTCTAAAACATGATCTAAAAGAAATGTTGAAGTATAGGGATAAAAAAATTTCGACCCACTCCCTCTTCTACAAACTGTAGCCCAATTTTTTCTTGATAGTTATGACTAGCTGCAGTTCTAGAAAGAAGATTAGCCTGACATAGAGTTCTTTCATTCAATCTCTTGAGCTTCTCATACACATTAACTAATCACAAGAGTAGATGTATATCAATAGCGCTAATAGTTTTCTCTTTTATTTTTATGTTTATTCATTTAAAGGCTATAAAACAACATGTAACACGTATTCAAAATATGCTTAAAGGTATTGTTGATCTAGTGAAATTTATTGATTATTGTTTTCAATGGGAAAATCCATGGTTGAGTTTTTCGGTTTTTATGGTAAGTAAAATAATCATGAAAAATATTATTTTGTAATGATTTAAATTTTAGGTAACTCTTATTATGGTTTGGAATTTTGAATTATATATGTTACCTTGTGCACTTTTATTATCATTAATAAAAAATGCAATTACAGAATATCGTCGAGGTCGGTTTACAAAACCTTATGCTAGTTTAGGTGATGAAACAATAGCAGTTATTGTACCACCAGCACCTATAGATGAAGAAATTATAGATAGTGATGTTAATACAAAAGTAAATTAGTAGAGAAAAATATGTTTTTAAATAAATTTATTTTATTTTTAAGGAACAGAAAAAATCATTTCTTGGTGTTATACAGAGTATTCAAGAAACAATTGTTGAAATACAAGGTTATATAGATATGGCTGCTTCAACATTAGAACGAATTAAAAAGTAATAGAAAAATTTTTTTGTTATATTTATTTATAAAATATTTTCTTGTATTTTTTTTATTTTAGTTTATTTAATTTTACTGTTCCTTGGTTATCTATTCTATTTATTATTGTACTTATACTTGGCGGAATACTATTCTATTATGTTCCACTTCGATATTTAATACTTGCATTTGTTATTAATAAATTTACAAAACGATTTCGTAAACCTAAAGGTTATATTGATAATAATGAAGCAGCTGATTTTATGTCACGATTACCTTCTGATGTTGAACTAGTTAGTAAATCTTTTATTTTCTTTTTAGAATATGAGAAATATATTTTTCTTGTCTTTATTATTTAGATGCGATATCGCGAACTTAAAGTTCTTACTCCATTATCACCAAAAAAAAAGAATAAATGATTAACTGCAAATAACAAATAAAAGAAAATATACATTCCATTCAATAATGGTTGTACAAAAAATTGTTTGTTATAAGACAGTATGATAGATATCAAAATGAGATATAATATTGATTTTTATTTTTTTTGTTGTTGTGTACATTGAATAACAGTCATGGACAACAGTAACTGCCATCTTTTCACATGAAGTATTACTTTTTCTTTATGACATTGAGCTAATATTTAGGATGTATGCACTCAACAATAATCTTTGATTACAGGTACCAACTCGCCCTCCATGGGTTCACATATACTGAAGTTATGAATTACATATCTTCTGTCACTTGCAAAAAACATATTCAATGAAAATATGCATTCAAAAAGTTTTTGTTTGTTACTTTTCTATTCCACAAACTACTAATGTTTTTTTTTGTTCGAGCACTAAAAGAGTAGTTTCATATGTCTAGTTTATTATCAAAGCCTGTAATACATAGTTATGGTTTTAGTAATTAGCACCAATATCTCAGTTATTTTAAAGTGATTTCAAATAAAATTCAGATTGGAGATAATCACGACATTATGCTTTCAAATGAGGAGTTCCACGGAAATATTTTATTAAAATGATTGAGATAAGATGATTACAAGAAAAAGATGATATCTGAGTCATAACCCCGGTACACTCAATAGCATAAAAAATAGTGGCACTTCATAGATGTTACAGTACATTTCTATAACATATACTTCGATTCTATCTATTCTCTTTTCTTTGTCTTTGATTAACCTTTATATTCTTTTCTATTTTGTCCTTGTTTTTTTTTCATGTGCGTATATAAATGTTTGTTTTCTCAGAGAGTAAATAGAAAGAGAAAAAAATACATATATCTTTAACTGTGTTCATTGCTCTTCGTGAGCGTGAACCCTAACAATAGGAGACAGCTATTGTTGTCCATGATTGTACTTTCGCTAAAACCAATCTTCTTTGATGTATTCACTATTACATATAATTTTTTTGCACAGTAAACATATATTTAGCTATTGAATTATTTGATTTTTTTTTCTTGATGTTGTCAATTGTTGATAATTTTTGGAAACTTAAAATCATCATTCTATTGACAAGATGAATGCGAATTTCATAGGAGGATAGAAGTAATCAAGTTTTTACTCGAATAAATATTTCGACTATTTAATAATTATGCTTATCTATGAATAATCAATTGATTATAAGATTTAAGATGGAATTGGTGTAGTTTGACAAAGTTTTTAGATCGACTAGTTCGATTCGGTTTCGACAAAAAAAAAACCATGAACTAATCCTATTTCTATTCAAGATATTTGTTTAAAGTAGTTGTCGAATCATCTTTGACTTAAAAAGAAAAACTCATCACCATCTCGATTATAGCAGTACTCTATACAACTATTAAATTTTATTACATGTAGTCAACTAAAAAAATACACTGAATATATGACGTCGATGGTAGTGTCAAGTTCTATAGATTTATCATATATATTTGTATCAAGAATAGCTTATCAATGGAATGAGAAGGCAAACATCATCGTATAGTATTTGTGACATTCAAAATCATTAATGCAATATTCAACCATATATTCGTAAATATTTTTGAATATTTTATTTATTTTGCTATGCCCTAAGTAGAAATCAAAGCAACGGAATTATAAACTAAACCTATATCCGTGAACAGTCACCATGTGGTTACGTTGTTCCATATGTAATCACAAGGTATTGTGTGCAAACCTCAGTATCATTAGGCATGGAATGACCCTGGACAAGTCACTAACAGCTATTTGTCTCGGATAGCATGCTGATTACATTGTGACATAGACTTGCTCTTATGGTTGGCTACTGTGTACGGAGAACTCAAGCAATTGAGCACAAAAACTCTATGTCAGGCCGGTCTTCTGTCTAGAGCTATTAGCTCATCATAGTTGTCGGAAAGATATCGGACTATTGAATCTACTCGCTAGGCAGCCCCCATACCGCAAGATAACTGAAAGCCAAAGGTATTCTTCTTATATTAGTGAACATAGGAGTATATTTATTTTATTGCATTCTCTCGAAAGAACTATTGGTGACAACAACAACAATATTTTATCTTTTCTTGAAGTTTCACATATCAGAAATACGAATGATAGCAGAAACTCGCCCTGAATATATATGACTTTTTGATAAGAGGCCAAATTTTCATAGACTTTTGAAAGAAATGTCGACCCTAATGCAGTTTTTTTCGTAGTCTTTGCTATTGTGAGAAGATTGCCTTTTTATTTCTATCACCATTGAATTATAAACATAGTTTAAGCACGACAGATGATGCTAATTTACGTCATCTGTTACTTAAAGGGTTAAATAAAAATATAGGCTTTTGTGTGACCAAGTTTTTTATAGTTGATTTTGTGTTGAGAAAAGCGATGTTTATTGTGGTGAAGTGACATTGTTTTTACTTATTTTAATCCCATATGTATTAAAATGATCATAAAAAAAATGAATAGAAGCAAATTTCAAAATTCTGTTCGGACAAAAACTGCACACAGATATTGGTTTTCAATTTAAAACCACTCCGAGCTCTTCTTGGACGAAACTATAAGCATACTTCTGAAGATCATAAATGAATTATAAATAAGCTGGAACTTCGCTCTAGTTTAACATATCAGGCCGAAACTTTTACCAGAAACATTTTTCATTAGGAACACTTATTTCTAAAAATTTCAGCCCATATGAACCTTTCTAAGTGGTAAATATATTTGTGAGGATGCCCTTAAGACGTTGATAGTTTATTATTGCTGTTCTCATTATTCTATAGGTTTGTATCTGTAACCAATAGTTACAGTGATGAATAATCACTTATAGAGATGAATTAAAATTGTCGTCGAAAAAACAACTACTATACAATTAAAAGTCTATCATAATAGTTACAGCTGCTTCACCTTCACCTAATGTAGTACAACAAAAGTTCATACAAATTTGAATGATCGATTGATTCATAATCATCGTGCAGATAAAGAAAAAATTGAAATAAAAGTAAAGACATTCTGAATCGAGAACAATCCAACGATAAATCAATAATTCAAGAAGAAATTGTTTTTTCTTTTCGTTTGCTAAAGATTACATCAATTTTTCTTGTATTCTTGTAGTTTTCACTGATAATTTACTGTCTATCTTATAACGGTTCGTCTACCTTCGTTCTTCTCGTGTTAGATCTGCAATAATTTCAAAGTTTTATTTTCTACTACTACATAAACATCAATTTTATTGACAATCATTCACTTGAATTTTATTAATAGAAAAATAAAACACATTCACTGCATATCGGATTTATCTCTATCGTCAAGTATTTGATATAAATCATCAATTTCTTTCGGACACATATTCGACAAAACTTCACAACCTTGTTCCGTTAATAAAACGTCATCTTCTAATCGTGCTGCAAAACCACGATATATTGATGGAACATCTTTACAACTCCAAGGAATATAGAGACCTAAATAAATGATAAAAGAAAATATATCGTATTGGTCACAAAATATAAGATCAACGTATTTTTCATTTTTTTTACTATGATATCAAGCATTTGACTCAAATGCAAATAGTGCTTTGCATAACCAATGAGGTTCTCTACCAAATGCATTTCATATCAAAATTTCATAGATGAACTTTGAGAGAAAGATTTCTGAAAAATCAAGCACGTTAATTTTCAGATGCCTGAACACTCGGTGAAAATTAGTTTCTAAAAGTATCATCTTAAAGAGCACAAAAGCTTGAATAAAACCTATTAGTGCAATCTCTGTGGAGTTAAAATGTGAAGTACGCTATAGTTGCTCTTGCTAATCACAGGGAGATTGCTTTTGTCTATCTATTTTCGAACGCATGTCTTCATCATCTTTTTACTTAATCCTCCAGGAACCCAATAAGATAGTAGTTCATATAGTATAATGAGACGTAATTCATATACGGTCTTTGATCGAATATCAACAACGTCTTGCACCGTGTCTATGACAATCTCTGACTAGTGTCTGCCACCGCCTATGGAGAGGGAGGAGACATGAGTTCAAATTACTACCCTATACACTTCAACACTCCTTTCAGATCGTATTTTATAAAATGAATAGTCACCGCATTTCCCATTAATGTCCCATAAAAAGTTATTAACATCACACAAAATAAAAAAAATGCGTTGTTTTTAGCAATGCTATGATAAATTTTACTTTGTGATGCTTATAAGTTTTTAAGGAAAGAATCATAGGAAATGCGATGATCACTCATTTTAGTATTTTATCCGATGTCGAGACTGAAACGCATCGCTACTTCGAAGATCTGACTGATTCTTTTGGAGTTTGTAGCTATTGTACCACATACTATGTGTTTATACTCCCAAAAGATAGATTTTCGTTCTTCCGAAGTTTTAAAATAGTCCTCTGAAACCGAAAATCTGGATAAAATACTAACTTATTTTATTCAGAATTTTGTACTCTTTAAGATAATACTCTTAAAAACTAATTTTCATTGAGTCTTCTCAGGCTTGAAAGCTATCGTATTTAGTTTCTCAGAAACTTTCTTCTTATAGTTCATTTATGAAACTTCAGTATACTATGCATTTGAATTTTAAATACTTAATATCGTAGGAAAATTAATCAAAAATATATTGGTCTAATATTTTTCACCAGTACAGAACATTTAAATACAAAAAAAAAAAAGATTATCTTGATTACCTACCAGGTTCAATGGTTATTATATTACCAGATCGAAGTTGTTGATCAGCTGTGCATAAATCACAATCGTGTACATCAAGACCTAAATATTAAAAATAAAAAGATTAAAGTTAACTTAATAAAAAATTCGATATGTACCAAGATGATGACTAACACCTGTTGGACATAAGATATGCATAACATTTTTAGCATAGTGTTTATCGATTGTTTGTGAAAGAATATTTTCTTCACATAAATATTTTATCATATATTGATCAGCTAAAGTATTTAGTTTTTCTCTTGAAATTATTTTATCAGTAGAATTTAAATATCGAATTAAATCTTTTTGTACAGTTAATAATATGTCATAAAGTTGTTGTTGTGGAGATGAAAATCGACCTTGGACAAAAAAATTCTTAAATCATTCATTGAAATTTTTATTACCATTTATAGGCCATAGACGTGTCATATCACTAGAATATTGTTTAAATAAACAACCTCCATCTAACATAATTAAATCATCTTTATTTATTGATTGATTATTCTTTTGATAATGAATAACATTTCCTCTAGATAAATAATTGATATAAAATAAAAATAATATTTAAAATTTACCGTCCATTAGCAGCAACAACTGGATGAAATGCCATTGAAATATCGCCAAGTTTTTCACATTCATATTGAAATTGAGCTTTAACTAAATGTTCATTTTCAATATCTTTTTTACAATTTTTTATTGTTCTTATTAATGCTATTGATGTTAATTGACATACTCGACGTATAAGAGTTTGTTCAGCAAATGATTTTATTGATCGTAATGAATGAAGAAATTTAGTTAATTGATTACAAACAATTGATGATGAAAATCTTTTTAAAAGAGGTATTAAATTCTTTTTATGTATACTTTCATCATTAATAAATTGTGAATTATAAAATAAAATCGAGGATAATGGAAGTTCTAATGTTATTAATTGATCAATTGGATAAACTCTATCAATTCCAAATATATCAGAGATTTGTTCTCCATCAGTTATTATTGGTCCAAACCATCGTTCATATTCATCAGTTGAATGCATTGTACATCGAGATAAAAAAAGATTAGTAGAAAATGTTTGATCATTACCATTAATTAATAATACAGCATCGGGTTGCATACAACCAGTTAAATAATAAAAATCTGATTGTTGTTTAAATGGAAAATACGCAACATCAGGACCCATATATAAACGTGATGATGATGGAAGACAAATTGTAAAATTTTTTGATGATTGTTTTTGTTCAGTTTTTATATAATTTCGAATAAGATTAACAAGTGAATGACGTCGTTGACGAAATTCATTTAAAGATATTCCTGTCGAAGATATATCATAATGATCAATATAAAAGTGATGTTGACGAATGATTGATTTCATAATGGATTTGTTCCGAATGGCAAACATGTGTTTGTTGTTTTTTGTTTTTTTTTTATAAATAGTTTTTTGATTTTTCTACATCAAGAAAAGAAAAATAAACATAACAATAATCTGTAAATTAAATGATCAGTTCTATTTCAATGAATAAATTTTATAAAAACAGACATGCACAAGACTAATCTATCCTGTAGAGTAGGATAAGGATTAGAAAATTTCTCTTACGAGGAAACGATTCCAACTGTAATTCACCGTTTGAAACCATATTGGACCCAGAAGAAAGTTTCTATAAGACTAGAAAGAGATTAAAATGACTCGTCCCTAAGGGCCAAGTTATTACCGTTTTACTGCAATTTCAACCCATCTTTTAGGATGTACTGAAAAATTAAGTAATAGAATTTCGAATAAAAATTCAGCTTATAGTTTTGAAATAGATTTTGTATTCTTCCTGTATTTTTTACGTAAAATTTCTTTATTCACATGTCTCGGCAATCATCGGACTACCTTCTTCAGTTTAGAAATTGCAATAAGCACAACTATGCATAGTTCTTTTTCTTTGCTTTCTAATACTTGTACAGAAAAAGAAGATGACAAATAGTTGTCATTCCTTGTCAGTTTACCATCTTGTTTCCATACCAGTATTAGAAAAAAAAAGAATTATGTATAGTTGTGTTTGTTGTAATTTCTACACTGAAGAAGGTAGTTCGATGATTACCGAAATGTCTGAATAAAGCAGTTTTTCGTAAACAATACAGGAAGAATACAAAGTCTATTTCAAAGGTTACAGTCACTTTCCTGAAAAACGTTGCTGATTCAGCCTATAGATAGATCTAATAACGTTTAGAATATTCCGTAATTTTCAGCTGAAAAGAATGTTCATTTGTCAGGATATTGAATTTCCAACACATACTCGCTTATCACAAAAATCGTGTTTATTTGGAAATTCAATCTTTTTTTCGGCTGAAACTTTCAGAATATTCTCCGATTCATTCGATCAATCTATGAGCAAAATCGCAGGTCAAAATTCTGTTATTTGGTTTTCCAGTAGATACCTAAAAATGGATCGAAAATTCAGCAAAACGGTCAAAACTGTGTTCATGGGCAAGGACCTCTTTAAGCTTTTTCTAATCTTACTGAAACTTTCTTGTGAGCTCAAACAATGAGTTACTGTTCGAATGATTTCTTCATAAATGATAAACCATTTTTGAGTTTGAACTCAGTGCATAAAGTAGATTTCAATGAGATATGAAGAATCTCAAAAGGATATATGTTCTTAGCTGTTCTTTCCAGAATTATTGTCATTTTACTAGAGATTTAGTCTACAAACATAGAATGTTCTGAAATTTTCAGCTCAAAAGAATGTTTCTTTCACAAGATATTGAATTTTCGAAAAAGAAAACATGCGATTCTTTTATCCTACATCATGTACGAGTAGTTTTTTTTTTTATAAATTTAATATCTCTTGAATGAAACATTATTTTGACCTGAAAATTTCAAGATATTCTGTTTTCCGTAAAATGACTATAACTCTAATGGAAACAGCAAAGGGTGCTCGTTCTTTTAGGTTTTTTCATATCACACTGAAGTCTATCTTACGCTTAGAGTGCGAATTCAAAAATGTTTTACCGCTTGAAACAGCTCTCCAGTCAGTCAAGGTTCAGGATACGAAAAAAACTTATTCTACATGTCTGTAGTATAAAATATATTTTGATTACTTCAAGGAATATTCTTTTCTTATATTTTACTCTACTGATAGAGACAAGCATTCATTGTACATGTATCAGTTGTTTAGATATATTTTATGTTAGAATTTCAGCTTTTCCTATCGTATTATTAGTAAGGTTAAAACTGAATACAACAATTTTAATTACTTTTCGAAATATTTTTCATGTCTTATTAATAATTTTACAAGAAAACGTGTTCGACTGGCACTCTTTATTTGAGTTCGTATTTTACCTCCGGTTAGATCTTTCTTCTCGAGTTATGATCATTTTACTGAATTTTTAGCCTATTGTAGAATAGTTGATTCGAAGGAAAAGCATCTATTCGAGTTGAACCTTTTAGAATGTTATAAGTATCATGAGTAGACTTCTGCAAAATGGTCACGGTCACGGTTACGGCGTCTCGTGACCGTGACCGTGACTAGTTTTCGAAAAATTGGCGTGACTGGGATCGTGACCGTGACTTAACAGTGAAAAATTTTGATACTAAAAGTCTGATTTTTGTAGAAAAAAATCAAGATTTTAATTGATTTATGGATTTTCTTTGTTTTGTTACAGGGAAAATCTACGAAATCAATTTAAATCTTGATTTTGTAGCACAAAAATCCAGCTAGTAATCCAAAATTTCCGTGGCTGTGACGTGACCGTGACTAGTTTCGAAAAATTTCCGTGACTATGAACGTGACCGTGACGTGACTGAAAAATCGTGGTCACGCAGAAGTCTAATCATGAGATCTGTTACTGAGCAAAAAATTAGACGAAAAGTCTTTATTACGAATTTTTTCTTAATGTCTTGCAATATGTTGAAAATTCACAAAATCGATCATAGATCGAGAAGAAAAGGTGTAAAAGAACGAATCTTTTAAGAATTTTCATCTAAACTATGAATCCTACTTATGAACGAAATATGTATTCAAATAGAAGATTCTCTCATTAAGTAAAAGATATTTCTTCGAGAACGAATTACAAATTAAATTTATTTAAAGAGAAATAAAAATAAATTGATTTTAATCGATCAATTTCCGATAATTATTCAAAGTATTTAATATATTAAGCATATAGATGACTTAATCTCATTTAGAATATTTAAAACAATCATTAAGTTAAATTCATTAAATTTTACAAAAACAATGAAAAAAAAAAACTGTTTGAATTTTATTAGAAGAAAATAGCAGCAGCTACTAATCAATTTATTAAATCATTTAGAGAGCTATTTTATTTTTCATAAAATCCAATTGTATCGTAATAACACAAGAGAAAAAGAAGTCGAACAATTTTTATTTATTCATCATGACATAGACAACTAAGAAAAAAATTCAAGAACGATATGCAGAAAAGTAAAATATATCCAAAGTCAACGATTGATCGAATTAACACATTTTATTTTCTATATACAAATTGATTTCAAAAATAATTGAAAAAAATGCTACTTGTATATATATAATAGTAACATATGACAAGCTGAAATTCTAATACAGAAACTATGGATACCTCTAGTGTATGTATTATGAATATCAGTTTTTCACAGTAGGAAAAGAATATTACTTGTGAGTATGAAGATTTATTTTACACGCTTTAGTCTACACATCCAATGATGGCTTCATGACTTGAATGTGTATTTTCTGTGAATTCTCATATCAAAAACTAACTCATAGGAAGTTAAAGAAGAAATCTATTTATATTATTGTATTACTTCTGTGAAAATGATTGTGATTAACTCTACTTAAACAAATATCAAGATGAATCTGTCAAATTTAATTATAAAACTTTGTACTTTGATTCAACGTAGGATCTTTTACAAAATTTGTTTACAATGAACGAGGGAGTTGAACATATTGGCTTTATATTAATTATATACAGTACTAATCAACAACTTAAGACCAACGTATTTATTTTTTCTATGATATCAAGCATTTAATTCAAACCTAAATAGTAGTTTAAATAACCTATGAAGTTCTTTATAGAATGTATTCCATACCGAAATTTCATAGATGAACTATGAGAAGATAGTATCTGAAAAAAAATCGAACACAATCGTTTGGAGGTTCCAGAAAGCTGTATGAAAATTTTTGTTTTAAGCGTATCATCTTAGAGAGCATATTCCCTAGGATCTTGTTTTTTGTGATGCTTATAACGTTTTATAGGGAGGTCAGAGGAAATGCAATGATTTCTCATCTTATCCAAGATTTAGTGCTGTTTAAGATGAGACTCTTAAAAACTAGTTTGGGATCTGAAAACAACCGTGTTGAATTTCTGAGAAATCTTCATCTCATAGTTCACGTATGAATTTTCAATATGCAATTCATGTGACAAAGAACATCATAGGTTATTCAAATCACCATTACGATTTGAGTTAAATACTTGGTATCGTAGAAAAACAATCAAAAATACGTTAGTTTTCATATTTTTTTACTTTTACTGTACTATGATTACTTGAAAAAAATATTTATGTAGCATGAAAAAGCACAATCAAATCATCATGACTGGGAAGGAGAAGGGGTAGATCGAGCATTTTTTCGGAATAGGTAAGTAAAAAAAAATGTTGGAACATTTCTTTTGATACACATTCAAACGCTTGAACTTTATATACCGTTCTGATTAAAACATATGCTTTTTTAAAGCTATAATCAGTATTCCGATTGATAAAAATTGTTATATTTAACAAAAAAAAAACAACTATCTGAAAATAGTCTATTATTTCAAAGCAAATAAAATGAAATTTTTTTGTTTTTTCAAAAGTAAATTTCTAATGATCTATTAATTTATATATCTACATTGAAAAGTTTTCTCTATTAAAAAAGAAAGGCATAGCAGAAAAACTTTTGTATTCATAATGAGTGTTTTGAAGTATTCAAATACATCATTATATTGAATAGGAATAGATTACAAACAAAGTTTGTCGATGTAATCATGGATAATCGTTTAAAAATAATTGTTATTTTAAAATACTTTAAAACTATAATAATCTTTTCTCATGTAATAAAACAAGAACTAATATTTATTTCGAGAATCTTTTTTGTATTCTCTTTTCAAATATTTTATTTATTACAAAAATAAATATATTTCTTTTTTGTTCGTTTGTAAAATTTGTTTAAGATTAAAAAAGCAAAAAGACAAAAATTCTATAAGACTAGAATCAACAGGAGAATATATTTTTCATTTCCTAGAATAAAAAAAAAAACAATACATATAAAATAGTTTCTATAATTAATCAATATAAAATTATTTACCATAAATTTTAGTTTTAATTGGTGAACAAATATTTTCAATTTATGTTCAAATTTATCTTTTTCAGCTAATTGATTGAATTCTATTCATTTTAATATTGATTCAATTGTTTAATGTATTTTTATTTTATCATTAATAGAAAGTTTTGATAAAATTTTATCATCATTAATATTTGTTTTTATATTAAAACAATATGATTCAAGTGAATTTTTTGCTATTATACGTTCACGTTGTAATTCATCTTCTTTTTTTTTGTGTATTTTTCAGCATGAATAATCATTTGTTTTATTTCTTCTGGTGATAATTGACCTTGATTATTTTCTATTTTGATAATTTTTTTCTTGACCACTTGATTTTTCAACAGCAGAAACATTTAATATTCCATTAGTATCAATATCAAATGTAATTTCAATTTGTGGTACGCTACGTGGTGCTAGTGGAATACTAGTCAATTGAAAATTTCCCAGTGAATGATTATCTTTTGTCATTGCACGTTCACCTTAAAAAAATTGAATATCAACATTAGTTTGATTATCTGAACATGTTGTAAATGTTTGTGTTTGTCGTCCTGGAATAATTGAACCACATTTAATTAATGTTGTCATAACACCACCAGCTGCTTCAATACCTATAAAACAAAAAAAAAATGTTTGTTTTATTTATTTATTTTTTCCTACCAATAAAAGTGGTGTAACATCAAGTAAACGTGCATCTTTAACTTCATCTGATGTATCACTAATTAAAATAGCTGCACCATAAGCTACAGCTTCATCAGGATGAATTGATTTATTTAATTCTTTACCATGATAAAAATCTTGAAGTGATTTTTGTACTTTTGGAATACGTGTTGAACCACCAACAAGTATAATTTCATCTCTATGATTTATTCATTTTAGCATCACGTAAAACTGGTTCCACTGTTGAACGAAATAGATCAGGACATAATTCTTCAAAACGTGCACGTGTTATTGTTGAATAAAAATCAATACCTTCATGAAGAGAATCAATTTCAATTGATGTTTGAGATAATATTGATAATGTACGCTATTAAGACAAAAAAAAATTCACATAAGATTTTTTAGTATAAAATAAATTTCAACTGACTTTAGCTCGTTCACATGCTGTATGCAAACGACGAAGAGCACGTTTATTTTGTGATATATCTCTATTCGTTTTACTTTTAAATTCTTGTATAAAATGTGTAACCATACGATTATCAAAATCTTCATCACCTAAATGTGTATCGTCAGATGTTGATTTAACTTCAAAAAACACCATTATCAAGTATAAGTATAGATACATCAAATGTACCACCACCCAAATCAAATATGAGAACATGTTTTTCATCGGATGTTTTTTAATCTAAACCATAAGCAATAGCTGCTGCTGTTGGTTCATTTATAATATGTAATATATCAAGACCAGCAATAGTACCAGCATCTTTTGTTGCTTGTCGTTGCGAATCATTAAAATAAGCTGGTACAATAACAACAGTTTTACAACTTTACCATGTTGAAATACATCAACACACTAGAAAAAAAAGAAATAATGTTTAAAAGATCAAATTTTAAATAACTTACTGAGTATGTTGAACTCAAATCAATACCAATAGCACGAGCCATTTGTATTTAATGAAATAAAAAGTTTCGATCACATAGACAATTTGTATTACGCTTCGACGACATGCTTTAGATATTTTGAAAGTCGATTTATTCTAGTATAATCGAGAAATTTCGAGTATTGACGAGAAGAAAATAAAAGGTTTGTGAATAAGAAAACGGAAATCATAAATAGATGATCAATGATGAACAAAGTATGATTCCAACTTACGAAAGTTGTCTGTATTTCATTTTCGGTCAGAGTGACATCAAAAACATACAGTTGTGATTCGTCAATAATATATGCGAATAATGTACTTATATTAAATGCGACATCTCTTTAAAAATCTACTGTACTTAATTTTTCTCCATTTTTTGTTTATTTCGTATGATTTGGCAGACGAATAAAAGTTTTAGGCATCATCAGCCGTACATTTAATTCATTTAAAGTTCAAAAAAATGTCGATGAAAAAAAGCCAAGTATGGTACTGAGAGATTATTGTACTGAAAGTCAAGAGAACACTTTTTCAATACTGATAATCATCAAAATCAAAATTGATCTTTCTCGAAGACTTCTGTTTTTTTTTATATATCCTGAAATAAATTCAATTCGATTTTCATTTATATTATTTATCCTTGTTTGTCTGAAATTTTTAATTGTAAAGTTTTATTTCTTGTTTTGCTTATCTTTCAGGTAAATACAATTCAACCGTAACATGAATATATCAATATTTTCTTCACTTTTCATACATACGCGACAAAGTTACAAGGGTTGACTAAACCTAAATCTACTCTAGATTCACATTGATTAAGCTAAGATATATTCAAACACTTGTTGTTCCTTCTATCAGATTAATAGATTTTAGCAGTGCATTACAATTCTTATACAGTTGTCCATATTTTCTACCGCCTTCGGTATCTAATAATTACATTGTTTTAGTTGAATCGACCTAGAAAAAAGTTTTTGATGAAATATGAAGTTGTGTATAAGTGAATATTGAATCATACATCGACAATGACTTGAACTAGGAATCTTTCATTACAAGTGAAGACGCATCATACGGAAAATCTGAGTCAGATTAACTAGAATCTACCTAAATTTTTCTTGGCCTTCAGCAACTAAGATTGCATGTCTATTAGACATTTTCTAAAGTGAACACACTCAAAGTGCAACATCTTTATTCTTTTTCTGTAAACACTTCTACTTCGTCATTAACCTTCTTTTCTTCAGTAAAGTAGGTCAGAAACTCTTCTTTCGAAGGTCACATTTTAGTGATTATAAACATTTGTATGGTTTCCTCCAACACAATTGGTGAACTTATTTTTCTCATTATACGGCGCTGTAAAATGTCAGTTTGAAAAATGAAGCACTAATAGCATCTCATATGAAGAGTATGTAAAAACTGGTCTTCTCTAATTGTTAATTTCCTGATACGAATCTTATAAAAAAAAAAGATATATTGAGCCTAGTCTAGAACCAAAACATTCCGTCATCTATGAGATTTAGAACGGAATGGTTTGATCGAATTTGTATACAAGTTGAATGTGATTTTTAATTTTTCTAACAAATTTTCCATGTGAATACTTTATTGTTATTCTTCCTATTTTTAATTGTTGGATTAATAGTTTTAATATTATTTTTGAATCTCGATATTTGAACAATAATTGAAATTTATCAAGAGATTCAATTGAGTCATAAAAAGAAAGATTTCTCATCATCAATCTGTTTTTCTTTTTGTCTTTAAAACTATCGATTATTATTATTTTCATTTACAAAAATTTTCATGAATACAATATATAAAATACAAGACAATGACAAAAATTTATTAATTCTTTGAAGGATAATCTTTTTCAAATGGTGAAAGTGCATTTCGAATAAATTCATTATGAAGACAACCATTAATAAATTCTTCTTTTGATAATGAATGATTTTGATCTAGATCCAATGTATGAAATATATCATGTGCAATAGATTCTGATGAATATATTTTCATTTTATTTTCTGTTATTGTAAAAAGTTTTCTTAATAATTCAATCATTTCATTTAGTTCAATTGTTTGTGAATGATCTATATCAAATAATGAAAATGTATATTGTAATTTATCTAATGGTTCACCAATTGATGTTAATACATAAGCAATAAGAAATTCTTTAAAATCAATTCGATGATTCCCTAAATATTTCAGAAAAGAAAAACACACATACATGCATACAAAGAAGTTCTATTAAATGAAAATTTAAATTTATTATATAACAAACCATTACAATCAAATGCTTCAAAAACATTTTCAGCAATTGATTCAATATTTTTTGTCTTTGAATTTTCTAATTGTTTATAAAATTTAATAAATTGATTTTTATTTAATTGACCATTTGGACATACAACTAAAAATTCTCGATACCAACCTTGAATAACATGTGGTGTTAAATTTGTTTGTTTCATTAAATAACGATAATCATTTAATGATAGATCTTCTTCTAATTGATGTTGTTGTTGATTACCCATACTTCTCAATTATTTTATTTTATTCACTATTATTTCAATAAATCAAAGTATAACAATGTAAGAAAAATACTAATCGTTCATACCTTTTTTTTTCTCTTCTAAGAAAGTCCTCTGCTTCAATGTCATAATCTTGATGAACGCAATGAAATACAGAGTATATGAGAATTAGGATAGGATAAAAGAGCGTGTATGAAAGAAAAAAAATACGCTCTATTGAACAAGATCATCTTGTCGACAATAAAGGAACTATTTTCTCTCTTTTTTTTTATGTATTTTCAAGATTAAATAAAAATAGTTAAAGAAAGAAAAACTCCAATTCTTTTTTTCTTCTATTTTAAGAATATGATGATGATCCTGACCTATTTTCTCCAATACTATTCCGAATAAATATTAACTGTTCCAATTCTGTTGTTAGTATATAAGATTTCATTTTCATAATGAAAAAACTTCTCAGTTGAAAAGTGTGGAGATTAAAAAAAAACAGAAAACGAACAGATTATTTGTTGATTAACTAGATGACATTATTTATGAAGGCTAAAACAATTGATATGATATCTCAAAAAAAAAACAAATCAAAACTCAAATTTGCCGCTGGACATTTTTCTCATAAATGAAGGTTATATTAGAACTTAGCCTTACAGAAATCATGATTTGTTTATTTCAGAATAAGTTTATGTATATTCTAGTCTTTCTCATACCGAATAAAATAAGTAGATCTTATTGAACAAATATATTTCTATCATATATTCATAGCACTATGTGCATTGATTTATCACTAGACCAAACAAGGAATTATTATAAATCATCTTTTTATAATATAAAAATAAATTTAATAGTTTTTTTATCATTAATGAAATTAATTATATATATATAATAAAATATTTGAATTGGATTATTTAATATGAATAATCATATAATATATCCTTGTAAAACAATAACCTATTCATTAAACTATCAATGCATCATAAATATAATCTATCTATTTTTATAATAAATAAAAACTAGACAAGCAGGCAGACAGACAGACAGGGTCGACATTCAATCATCTGATAGCTTAAGTATCCTTGACGATTGCTCGTGTCATTTTCTTGTTCTCTCTTTCTTTATCGGGTTTTTTTTTCCTTCGAATACGTAAATGTTTTACTTTTCTGAGATAGGTATCTGTATAAGATGCAAGCTAATTAACTAATATTATATAAATTTGTGTTTTTATTTATTTTCTTTTTTTACATTCATGGTTTTATTTTACAATCAAGGTTACGAATATTTTTGGTTTAGTCTGGTCTCGTTTTTTTTTCTTCAATAACTTTCTTTCTACCTTTTTTTTTCACAAAGAGGAATCATTCAGCCGTATTGAAAGTAATAGTTATGCTTTTTCTGATCAAATTATATGATGTTTCATGTACGAATAACAACAAATTATCAAGGATATCTATCATATTACACGGTTGTACATAATATTAAAAAAAAAAAAAAGTAGAAAAAGCAGGTGAAATATTATTAGTTGTAATCTCTTGCTAACAAACGTTAAGTAAACAAGAGAGGGAGAGGGAGAGACGGATTCATATTTAATTAACATATGGGAAGCAACCACGGTAAACAAAATGGTAGAAGAGAAAATTATAAAAGAAGATCAAGTTTTAGAAGAATATTACATATTTCAACACGTGAAATAAATAATCCATCACGACCTGTAAGTTATGCAGGAATAAATCAATACTATGAAGAACAACAAACTTCAATTCGACCAATATCAATGATTAATATTATTCCATTCAATAGTTTAGATATAAGTAAGAATAGTTAGTTATTATCTAAATAAAATATTAGAAGATTATTAATTTTTTTTCTATAATATTTCTTTAAGAAACATCTATTGATAATTTCGATATTGTTTCTCCAGAAGCAATATCTGATATGAATCCGATATCACGATATTCTTCTCAGATAATAACAATAAGTAAGTAATTACAGATTTTTTTTTTTTTGTAAATTATTTTCATTAATATATTTAGATGAATCTTCATTACAAACTACAAATATTCATGAAGAAGATATCAAACTAACTATTACCAACAAGTAGGTAAGGTTCATAATTTGATATAAATATTTATACTTATTTTATAATTTGATTAGATTAGATGAAAATAATTGGAAATTTTATATACCATTAACACTTGAAAAAATTCGTTCAATAACAATATTAAAAGATTTATTATATGAACGTATAAATACAGAATTAATTCATATATTAAATCGTTTAATTCAATTTAAAAAAATTGATGAACATGAAGAATTTCATGATTGGTTTTTTAGTGAAATAGAATATTATATGTATTCATTTGATGATGATGATGATGATGATGATAATAATAATTATTGTCATAAATCATTATTATTACGTTCAATAGAACAAGATCGTTTTGATTGTACAAAATATTTACTTGAACATCAATTATTACCAAGTAAATTAGATATAAATAATATAAATGATCAAGGTCGTCATTGTCTATTAATGCTTGCACATAAAAATGGTCCCGTTGATTTAATAAAATATCTTTTAACACGTCATTTATCATGTTTAGATACAAATAAAATTGATTTAAATAATTTTAGTTCATTACATCATGCATGTCGTCATTTTAATTTATCTCTATGTGAAACTCTTCTTCCTTATACAAATAAACAATTATTACAAATTGAAAATTCTGAATTACATACACCACTTGATTATTGGCTTGAATGTTTATGTTCATTAAAAAAATTAAAACCAACATATATACAATATTATTCAGATAATTTACGTCTTGATTATTTATTAAATAATAAAAATTTTATTTCAAATATTTATTTTCTTCAAACAATAATTAATCGTGGTGGACAATTAACAAAATTACCTTTACGTTATATACGTTTAGTTTTACCACAATTAACATTTGAACAAAAATTATCATATGTTGATCATTATGTTAATATTTGTTGTATTTTATATAAAAATCGTTTATCAACATTAATACATAATTATGATCAATTTAAAATAAGTATTCAAGCAAGTGAAATTTTAACAGAATTAATATGTGCATTAGGAACTGTACAAGTTGAAATACAAAATCGTTTAACAGAAAATGCTTGTTCAGAAAAAGATCAAACAATAAAAATAAAAGAACATGAAATTTTACAAACAATTATTCGTATGTTATATGGAAAATTTTTTCGTTTATTTGAATCTATTTATAATAATCCAGATGTTAATGTAAAAAATTTTCATTTTGAACATGTATTTCGTCATGTTTGGATGTATTGGAAAGAACCTGTAAAAATATTTATGAAACAATCGAAAGAAAAAAATTCTTCATTGAAATCAATATGTCGAATAAAATTATTTAAATATTTAATGAATTATCCAAATGATATACAAATTTTACCAATTAATTCTTTTTTAAAACAATTTATTGCTTTTGATAATCAATTTTTTGTTATTGAAAGAAAATTTTAATATCAATAAAGAATTCTTTTTCTTTTCACTATTATTATTATTATTATTATTTTAGTTGAAATTTTATTTATTTTATTTTAGTAATATATCCTCGAAAAAAAAAGAAAGACAGTCTTACTGGATTTCAATATTAATAACATAGAAATCAAATAAAATATTTGGAATACTTAATAAACATCGAATGTTTCATTGAATAGAAGAAGTTAAAGGAGTACAAGCCAAAAAAAATTTTCAATAAAGTTGAGAAATTATATGGCAGAAGGCAAACTTGATACAATTTCCTTCAAAAAATAAAAAACAAATATTTTTTTTCTTTAGTTAAAATCATTTTTTGATAAAAACTAGAAGAATCGCTGTCCATAATCATAAACTTTCAAACAAAGAAGAAATATTTGAATTTATCTCTGACTGTAATGGAATACCGCTACGGATACATCAGCGAATAATTGATGTAAGAAAAACTGACTTCATTCAGCAAAAACGATTTTTTTTTTAGACAAAAACTCATTTTTTATAGAAAAATTTTCGCTCTAAAAACAAGGACATAGCTCAAAGCTGCAATGTTAATGAAAATATACATCGGAGTATCTCATTATGACTTTTCTGAAAAAGTGATGTTTTGATAGTGCTCAATTTTTTTCAGAAACTTTCATCAAAATTTCAGCTATTTTACACTTCTCTTTCCATTTAATTGCGAAAAATACACACTGTTGCAATCATAGATTGATCTCTTCGACTTTATATAATGCAACACTTGAATACGTCCTTAGTTATCAGTAAAAAATTTTCATTTTCAATAGTTATGATTTTGGTTGCAGATAAAATAAACTGAAAAGTTTCATTTGCCACTTGGTTCTATACTTTTTGGAACCGTCATATTCTATCTAGCAGTCAAAATGACTATGTTGGAATGATAATATCGGATTTCGAGAGGGGTTCGATTTTGATCGTTTATCGAACTCTGTACTTTCATAGGATCGTGTGACAATTTAAAATGCCTAATAAACGTATTCTTCTTCTATACTCAATAATTCTTTTAGCAGAAAAAGTAAATCTTAAAAACTAATTACAGCATCTGGCACAATTTTGTTTATTGCTTTTGCTCTTAGGTGACTATCGAACGGAAAAACGTCAATTTTTCTTTTACTCTATGAAACATGATGTTTCATTTTGTTGAAACAGGAACCACATATGCTTTATAATATCACAAAAAAAAACAGAAACAGAATATGTATTCTTTCAGTTTGCATCTCGGCAAAATAGAAAAAAAAACCTTTTTGTTGATCAACATGTTCTAGATATCAACCAGTATTACTAATTATTACCTTTCATTTAGATCATGAAAGAATGCTGATTATGCATGTGATGATATTTCTTACTCTGCATAATGCAGTGCATACTCAATATTCACTATATTATTCTGATATTCATCAGAGTTCTTATTTGACATTTGATTGTCTGTACACTCAACTCATCGAGCATCAATTCAATGAATATAAACCTTACACTGTGAGCAATCATTTGGTTCCCTATTGTCGACGACCTGATAATGATGAAGATGAAAAAGAAATGTCTGTTATATTGAATGAAAATATAGCAAACAATGTTACTTTTAAAGAATTGAGCGAACAAGGTGTCACAAGTGAACAACTTCTTAATTGGTCAGCACCTATCGATCTTGTTGAACGGTATGAAATGAATAATCGAAGTTTAGAATTATTCTATAACTGTTCATCGCCATGGTTTGGCTCGAAATGTCAATATCGATTTGTCTACAACTCAACTCTGTCATTTAATGAAATTGTTAAAGCTTCTGTAGATAGTCGTTCAGACATTATCCTTAACGTCAGTGTTACCACATGTTATCGCTTTTTATCTAATTGTGATCGTGGACCATGGTCTTTGTGTCTCGACTGGCGGCAAATATGTAATGGCAAAGTTGATTGTATGAATGGCGAAGACGAACAATGGTGTGAAATATTAGAGATGACAACATGTACTGATGATGAATATCGATGTCTTTATGGTGGTCAGTGTATACCAATGAGATTTGCACAAGACGGATACTCAACTACTGACTGTCTCGATGGTAGTGAAGAAAGAGAATTTCGGTCTCCATATTCGAGTTTAACAAATTCTTTTTGTGGTTCAGTTATTTCATTTCAATGTGAAGAGCGTATTAATCGATATCCTCTTTCGTTTCCATGTGGTGATGGACAATTTTTATCAGAGACTGATTTGCCAGTTAATGTGATGCGTTGTTTCAACTGGAGAAATAGAGAAGTGACTTTAGCCATGCTTACTTCGTTTGATCATATTAAAGATATTAAATGTCGGCAAGCTTTTCGTTGTTCACTGCTTTCCAATCGAAGTTATAGTAAGTAAAAATAATTGTATATTAAGTTAATTACTGAGAAAACTTAAGTGTTTTTTCTGTTTTCAAACAGTAGTATACGGTGTCTAAAAGCTATAAAATGGTAATTATTCTCCTTTCGCCCTTTGCTGCAAAAATGAATTAGTCTATTGTCCTTTTCAAGAAAAAAAAGGGGAGTGAGAATATTTTGAATAACTTTTGATAGAAGCAAGATAGAGAGCTGCGATTTTCACCGTTAGAATGAGGAGATAAAGGCGCATCGAATTATATGTTATAAAATAATTTGACCTAGGTTCTTCAAAGACTGAAAGCCACGTTGTTGAAAAGCAATAGATTTCATAAGGTGACTAAAGTGAATTTTTAATAATTGGATGTGTATTGAAATCGCTAACGGTAGATTTGCAAAACTACACAAGGCCGAGACTTTTGAATTGATTCATTCAGAAGTTATAGATAGTCTAGTCAAAATTCTCAGCCGATTTGTCGATTAATTTCTATGAAAAGTATCACTTTTTTCCGTTTTTTCTCATAAAATAAGAAACCAATTTTTGGCACTTTTTTTTTAGAAAATTGATTAAGAAAACTTCAAAATGCTTTTAAATGTTCAATCTACGGAGAATTGTTGAAAACTTTTTCATAGAACGGTATAGAAATCGTCCAGACATCTGGAAAGATATCCGATGAGTATCTGTGCATGAGAATTATTTTCAGTAGGGCACCTGACCAAAATTCTGTCACATGCTGACAACAGGGTACTAGTGGAAAAGTTATCCTGTTGATAACTGATCGATTACTCGGCTACCTTGAAATAAACAAATTCGCTAAGTTTCATACAGTATACATAACGAAATTTTGTTCAAAACTGACCAATCAGATAACACTATCCAGAGATCAAATCGGTACCGTTAACCAGTCAATCCGTGCTGATATACTCACTCAGTACTGTTGTATCAGGCATCGAAAATCTAGACTGGTTGCTTCTCTAGCGTCAATCTTTAGTTCTGAAAAGATACTGATTATGCTAAAGATTTTCCGCGCAATGATACTTCATTATTACATATGTGAAGTCAAGAGGATAAATGATTTCTCGATCAGCTACTGTTTATTCATGTGAATCGATAGCAACTTTGAATCAGTTACATTTTCGACAGATGTAGTTCACAACATATACTCATGCATCCCAACGTTCTCAAAAAAACTATGTGAGGAATGTTTTCTCAGGCAGGCAAACAAACAAGAAAAATGGTGTTTAAGAGTGTGGGTATTGGTGTCAATGAAAAGAAGGCCTACATTCACATCCTGACCATGCTAACTCCACTAGAATTATGTTTCGTATGGTTGAGTTCGAATTCTGAATATTCATTCTTCCGAAGCGATCATCTACGAAAGTATGGTGATGATCATCCTGCCAATCCTATTTAGAAACACCAAACATGTTCACAGAAAAAGGTCAACTACGTAAAAAGACCGTTTCAGTTGTAAGAATCAATCAAAACTAACCCTTTCTGTCTGTTATTGACTGATGTTCTAAGGTTTGAATACTTGTCATATACAATCAAGTTACGTGTGAGAAAGAAGTTATTGAAGTATGATTGCTATGAAAAGATGGAATCCATTCGAGTTGAATCCCTGATGATATATTCGGATATAGAGAGATTGAAAATTTAGTGCGAATTGGCTGCAGATTTCATTGAAAGAAAATTAAACAAAGAAAAATACACTCAAAATATTGTATCATTTTTAGATATCAGTAATATACATGAATAGTTTTCGAAAAAACGATCAAGAACTCGAGGTTTTCAAAAGGAAGGATCAATGTTTTGTTTCTGCCAAAAACCTTTTTTTTGTAGCCTTTTCATCTTTTCAGCAAAAAAGTTTGAGAGAAAAAGCTTTTTCCAAAAAAGTGATAGAGTACCCATGGATTCATTCTCATATGTTTCTTGTTGATAAGTAAATCGTGCCTATTCCTTTTTTTCTTCAATATTTTATCTTTCAATATTTTTCAATTTACTCTTTTAATAATGTTTTCTATGTAACTTTGTGTTGATCTAGATGTCAAACAGCAGAGTGGCGTACTTTCATCACGTGATTATTTTGAAGTTACTTGGGATACAAATTGTCAACTTCTTGCCAATTATTGTTTAGATGAATGGCTAATTCTACCTCAATATCCTATTATGTATGGATATTTTCAATTTGTCTATTTGACTAATCGATCAATTAATGAATTTAAAATTAATGTCGCACCTGATTTTGTATGTTTTGATGCAGAGAAATGTCCTGTATTATTATCTAGAATAGTTCCAATTGAAATAATCAATGGTCTTATATGTTGTCGCACTTTTGATCTAATAAAAGAAGATATGATGGAACATTTTGATATGTTGAATAGGAAGTTCTTGCACCTCTTTCGTGAATGTTCAACTACCGGCAATGAAACGTCATGTGCAAATTCATCTTATTTTCATTGTAATGAATCATTAAAATGTATTTCATATAATCGTGTTGGTGATGGATTCAAAGATTGTTATTATAAAGAAGATGAATCATTTCCTACATGTCATCTGAATGTCTCAAATCGATTTATGTGTACATCAGATCCAACCAAATGCTTGTTACCTGTAGCAATTGGGAATGCACTCTATGATTGTTCACAAGGAGAGGATGAGACAAATGAGAATATATATAGCATCAAGCGACAACTACCATTTCCATTTATATGTGACGCAGATACAAAGTTTTCAGAAGCAGATGGACATGAAACTGATGAAACAAATTGTGAATGGTGGCGATGTCATAATGCGTACTCTCATTGTGATACATATTGGGATTGTCTTAACGGTATCGATGAGCTTAATTGTCCAAATATGAATTGCTCATTGAATGAGTTTCAATGCAGAAATAACGGTTTGAATTTGACTTATTGTTTACCATCAGTTCATATGTTTCATCAGCGGAGAGATTATTGTATGGAGAATGAATTTATTCAAGAACTCTATTTTGACAATGGAACAGGTAATATTAGCAAATCTTACTATTCATTTAACAAATCCAAATGTATCACTGAAGACAACATTTGTAATCATCATTCAAAAACAGTAAATATACAAGAAGATGTATGCCTTAAAAATCAAATACTCAAATTATCTGTCAGTGCAATTAGTAGAGTACAGAAACTCGACAATGATAATACATACTTATGCACTCTTCAAAATGTCAAGGACACAGTCACGGATCTTATCAGTCGCTACTTGACTCCTTCACGACTTGGCTATTTCCCATCAACAACATCTAAAACTTCTGTTCAAAAGTTTTTCGACAAATCTAAACACAAAAATAATATACCTAAGATGGATATTGGACTCGCTTGATATTGTCATTATGGTATTCTCACTTTATTCAAGGGTATTAATCAAACAAAAACATGTCTTTGTCCACCAAATTATTTTGGTTCTCAATGTCAATGGCAAAGTCAACGTATTAGTTTGACTTTATAGTTTAGAACACAAACTATTATTTCTTCAACAGTTATTTATCAATTAATCATCATGCTCATTGATGAACAAGGAAACATTGTACCCAATTATGAACAAATAATATATATGCCAGCTCATGATTGTAATACAAAGTTTAATATCTATCTACTTTATCCACATCGTCCTAAACATTTATCAACAAATTATTCAATTCGTATTGATCTTTTTGATAAATCAACATTAGATTATTAGACAAGTTGGTATTTGTCAATTCCATTTCAATTTCTTCCTGTTAATCGAATATCGACTCAGTTAATTATTCCTGAAGTACAAGAAAATAAATTATGTACACTATCATGTGGAGAACATGGTCGATGTATGAAATATACAAATATGAATAATTCAGTTTTTTGTCGATGTGATCAAGGATATTCTGGTACTTTCTGTAATATTACATATCAATGTCAATGTTCAAATGATTCATTCTGTCTTGCTCCATCTATTTGCGTATGTCCTTTGAATAAGTTTGGCTCACATTGTTATTTGAAAAGATCGATATGTCAATCAATGAATAATCCATGTCAACATAATGGATTTTGTATACCAATTGATGATCATATTAATTTATATGGATTTATCTGTATTTGTAAAGAAGGTTATCAAGGTAAACGATGTCAATATAAAAGTAATCAAATTGATATTCGTATAGATGAGACAATATTAACAATAAGTTCATCATTTATTCTACATTACATAATAGCATTTGATAAATATACAAGACATGAACGAATAACTACATTAAAAAAGATTCCTTTCGGTTGCAATACTATGACCATTTATATAAAACAATTATTTAACATTCTTTTCATACAAATACCTGATGGTAATTATTATCTAACTATATTAAGAGAACAATTTATAATATCAGAATATATTCATACTTAAGTATCATTAAAAAATCGTTGTTATCCAGTTCTTGATCTTTTTAATGATACTTTACGTCAATATAAATATCTACGTCGAGTAAAATATTATCCATTTTTATGTCGTCAAAATTTACAATTGATGTGCTTTTATGATGAATACTATATGTGTATATGTGATAGTGATCGATTTTCAAATTGTTTCGAATTTAATCATTCGATGAAATATGATTGTAATGGAAAAAATCTTTGTTATAATGATGGTCGATGTTTTATCGACAATGAAACTTGTCCAACAATATCTATTTGTGTATGTAATGATTGTTACTATGGAAGACAATGTCAATTTTCAACAAAAGATTTTATTTTTTCACTTGATCCAATTCTTGGATATCATATTAAACCAAATATTTCATTTGATCGACAACCATTTATTATCAAATTTAGCATTATTATTATTACAATTATGTTGATTTCTGAATTAATCATGGGTTCATTCTGTATAACAACATTTCAATTGAAAAAATCAAGAGAAGTTGGTTGTGGTTATTATCTTTTTATATCATCAATTAGTTCAATGTGTATGATTATTATATTAACAATTAAATTTTGGCAACTTGTTCTTTCACAAATGTCAATAATAACTAATAGATCAATACTCTTTATTAATTGTATTTCAATTGAAATAATTCTTAAATCTTGTTTAGCATCAAGTGAATGATTAAATGCTTGTGTAGCTATTGAAAGAATGTTTAATGTTATTAAAGGTACGACATTTAATAAAATAAAGAGTAAGATAATAGCTAAACGTATAACTTTTATTATTATTATTTTAATCATACTTACACATATTCATGATCCATTTCATCGAAAATTGATTAATGATTTGGATGGAGATCAACAACGAATATGGTGTTTATCTCAATATTCATCTACAATAACTAAATATAATACATTTATTACTCTTTTTCATTTTCTTGTTCCTTTTTCAATCAATTTAATATCTGCTTTTGTAATTATTATAGTAGCAGCTCGTCGTCGTGTAAGTATAGAATCGAGACAATCATTCATGCAACTTTTTCAATTGAAACTTAAAAAATATAAACAGATTATATTTGCACCTATTATTTTATTAGTATTAAGTTTACCACGTCTTATTATTTCATTCATATTGGGATGTATGAGATCACCATATTACTCTTGGTTATATTTGATTGGTTATTTTCTCTCCTTTATACCATCAATGTTAACATTGTTTGTGTTTATTTTACCATCAAAAATTTACAAAAGTGAATTAAATAGAACAATGCATCGATGGATTCGATCATTTCGTCGATGATCTTGATGGGTTTCATGTAACATTCTGTTAGACAAATGTTCTAATTGACTTTGTTTCTATTTCAGTTTTCAACATTATAGACATATATCTTCAACTAGCATTCACTATTTTTATTAGTTAATCATACTTTTCAGATCTTTAAAATAAAAATATGAAATAATTGAATAAACTGGATTTTAATTGTTTCATCAAATCATCTCAAAATTGTTTTCATTTGAATATAAATCAAAATTGTGATTGTCAATTCTTATGTTTTAATCTTATAACTAAAATACCAAATTACTATATTCTTTAATCAATCGCACAAAGAAGATGTCAAGAGAAGATGGAAAAAAAAATACATTAATGTATTCTTGAAAAGACTCAACTATTGAAAAAATATTTTGTTTTGTGATAAGTGAGTACATTAGCAAAACATTGAATTTCTCGGTGATATATTTTTTTGGAGAAACTCTCATGATCATGACTATTCGATCACGATCTCGAGAGACTTTTCAGAATAAGTTACGACCACAATAAAAAAGCTTTTGAAAACCCTTTCTTGAACACTAACAGCATCAATATTGACTATAGTTCATTAACTCTTTGGTAGTGATCATCAACGCATATATGCGTCCAGAATCTTATCTTCGAGTAAACTAAAGTAGTCATTTATAATGTAAAGGGTGTCCCAGAAGTTCTGTTACAATTTTGAGATTCATCGTTCTCGCGTTCGATAAAGCAAGCTTCTTGAAATTTTGGGAGATTATTGTATATATCAAGTACTACATAATTACAAAGTTTGAGTTCTATAGCTTTTACTATGGGTGAGAAATAGTAGCAAGATTGTCATGTACTATTTTTTCAATTTTTCTGATCATTTTGATTATTATTATAAAAAAACTACAAACAATGGAAAAAGAAATGTACAATAATAGATATTGATGTTTGCGTCATTGACTAACACTTTGATGAATTACTAATTTTAATCATGCTAATATTTTATTCGTCATTTATGGACATAATGAAGCAATGAATCTATTACATATCTTTTTGATGTTGCTTTTTTAATGTTCAAAATCAGTATTCTTGTCATTGTAATTTCTCTTTTAATGCACCTCAAACGTTTTTCGATAAACTAAAGATCGGGTAATTGGAAGCACAAATTTTCGATTCAATTCAATCGATTAAAACTTCTTCCACAGCATCAAAAGAGAAATTACAATGGCAAGAATACTGATATTGAACATTGAGAAAGCAATATCATAAAGAAATGCAATAAATTTATTGGTTCATTATGTCAATAAATGACGAATAAAATATCAGCATGATTAAAATTAGTGATTCATCAAGGTGTTAGCCAATGACGCAAACATCGATATCTATTATTGTGTATTTCTTTTTATTTCCATTGTTTGTAGGTTTTTTTAATAATAATCAAAATGATCAGAAAAATAGTACATGGCAATCTTGTTACTGTTATTGAATGCGAGAACGATGAATTTCAAAACTGTAACAGAACTTCTGGAGCACCCTTTATACTCCAATATAAATAAAAACGATAAGCTTTTAGGGAATTAGCAACAATGGATATATCGTGTTTCACATTTTAATTCCGTAGGAATTGCGCCAACAGCTTTTTTTAATGTTTGAAGACAACTTTTCGATCCCAAAAATGTATTCAGTAGATAGGTACTACTTTAGACTATACATTATTCATCACAAATAACTAAAAATCAAAAAAAGTTTTTTTAGGTCATGAAGCTGGAGAATGCCACATAATTCATTCAGTCGAAACCTATTGGAGATATTCCTTTTTTATGGGTCAGGCCATTTTATTGGACATCCTATAAATAAAATTACGAGTATATTGCTTTTGTAATTTATCTTCATGTTATTCAAACATTCTATATTCGAATTTAATTTATTTTTCTTTCCATAATTATTAAACAATTTTATTTTTATTTTAAATTAATAAACTTCAGATCTTACTAAGAATTCCATATTTTAAATAATTTCTCTCAATAGATGTCGTTCATCACCTTAAATTTATCTTGATGAGGCGAACAATACACAATGCATGGCGACAACGAACAAAGATAATGTCTCACTATGATTCGAATTTTTATCGGTCAACTCAATTTAATCGATTAAAACAAAACCAAACCTATTCATTTTAAAATCCATCAAAATGAAAAAAGGTTCTGTATTTGCTGGTAAAAAAGGTCCTTTAACAACTGGTTATGGTACACCAGTTAATATATCATCAACATCATCTTCATTCTTCGATAATAGCCTTCAACAAATATCACATAATCCAATAGGACCTTCAAAAAATTGGCAAGCAACACCAATAAATTCACATCGATTTCCATCTACACATTATTCATCACAACAACCAAATTCAACATCAACTATTCGAACACATCCTTTAATTACATCTGTTATTATTACAAATACACCAAATTCAAATATAATTAATCGAGTTAAACCATATACACTTCAAGGTCTTGTTGAAAATCTTAATGAAGTAACAATACAAAAAAAAAGCAAAAATTTATTTATAGATGTTTTAATTTTGTTTTGTTTTGTTTTTCTATTTAAAGTTACTTGCTGAACTTGCTATTCCACATTCAATGCGTTATGATACAAAATATGGTTTTGAAGATATTCTTACTGTACTTGATGTATATATTTTATCTATGTTCTTTTTTTAAATATGATTTATTTTGTACATATTTTTTATTTTTAGCATTTAACAAATCCATTACGTTATGAAACTCAACGTTTTCAACCATTTCCACCATTACCACAACCAACAAAACCAGGTGGAAAAATTTCTTTAACTGATCGTTGGGCTTATTTAAAACAAGTTTTTCTATTATATCGTCTTTCAACAATTGAACAATTATCACGTATTAAACCAGAACGTGTTATGTCACATGATCATATAATAATTATGATAGAATTATTAATACAATTAATAACATGTATATTTAAAAGTCAACATGAACAAGAACGTATAGCAACAAATAATTATTTAAGTGAATTTAAATTATTAATGCGTCAAATGTTTTGGATTGGAAGACATAATCCAGTTGTTATGGAAGAATCTATGTATGAATTACGACATCATATCTATGCAAAAGATAATCTTGAAATAGTTGATCGATTACAACATGAAAAAAAAATGAATGAAATGACTATTGAACGAGATCAATTAAAACAACAAGTAAAACAAAAAAAAAAAAGAAAGAAGAATAGGAATACATTAGAAGTCAAATCGACCGACTCCATATGTTCAACAGAAAGAATATGTTGAGATTGATATTTTCGCAGTTTTATTCGAAGCAACAAAAAGAAATACTCATCTCAAACAGTATCCGATACCTGTACACTAATTTTAAGGTCGATCGAACGTCATATCTCAGAGAATATTGGAGTCTTTGACAACGTTTGCTCTACTCATCAAGATCTACCTGCCTTGAAAATTTCGAATTTCTTCGATGAACTGTTCTTCAGAAAACCCGAAGAGGAATATCCTTAATGAGATATAGGTCTGATCTATTGGACGATAATGTTAGTGTATTTATCATCCGCTACTAATTGAAATGATCGAAATTTTGATAATACTTTTAAAAGACTACAAAATATTAAGTCAACAAAAAGATTTTACTACTTGGAAAATTACTAAATATAGCATAATTCAGTGTCTTTTTGATTCGAAATCAGTATAAAATACTGAATTGATCTATGCGCGATTTCTAGGACTTTTTTTTCGTCGAAAAATTTTCTCGCGATTTTTCTTAGAGAATAAACGAAAAATGAATTGCATCAAATTTATAAGGAAACCTTGAAAGTCGTTTTAAGTTATTAGATACCAGATAGCTAGAAAATAAAAGTACACTTTTCAATGTCTGACCTCTAAGGGGAATCAGGTATAAATTTTTTGGACAAAAAACAAATTTCTTGAAATAGCACATAGATCAACTCAGTTTTTTTTCCTACTGATTCCACGTATCATATTAGCTTCCATTCAAATTGAATTTACCAAAAAAAAAAGAAAAAATACAAAATTGCGCGTATGTTTAGCAATTTATTAAGTACGAAAGTTGTTTTTTTTTTACTTATGATTTTGTAGCTATTTAAAAAGACTATCAAATGAGTAATACCAGAATTTTCATCATTTCAGTTATATGTTGAAATTAGAAACCTACGTCACCATAGGATTTTAGTCATGGTTACACGTGACTGTAACTCGTTTCTCTAATTGAGATATAAGAGTAGACGATAAATATAGAGAATATGTTTACAGTATCAACCAGTACATCAGATATAGTGATATCTTGTTAAATTAAAAACATGTTATTTTGTTTTGATTAAGTTTTAAAATTCGATCATAAAATCATTTTCATTATAGTTTGAAGAATTAAAAATGAATCGTAATGAACTTGAAAATGAATGTACAACATTAACAACAACAAATGAGAATGATATTGTTGAATTTACTCGAAAACAAGAAGAAGCATCAGATGAACAATCAAAATTAATTGAATTAACACAAATTGTTGAACAAAAAGGTATTTTTGAAAAAAAAAATATATAAAACAAAGATGTTTTCTATCATTTTTTTCTTGTTCTTATATTATTTAAGAAATGGATAAAAAACATTTAATTGACCGTAATCAATCATTATCCGATAAACTTTTTAATCAACAAACAGATGTTGAGTTACAACGTCATGTTCGTTCAAATAATGAACTTAAACAACAACATGAAGTTCTTCTTTCGACATTACTTCTTGAACAACAATTACATATAACAGCAGCTAATGAACATAAACGACTTGTTAAAGAAGTAAATTAATTGAAAACAAAATTTTTTTTTTTTAGTTAGTAAAAATCTTAGATTTTCATGTTAATTGA